TAGATATATATATATATATATATATATATATATATATATATATATATATATATATATATATATATATATATATATATATATATATATATATATATATATTATATATATATTATGTAATTATGTAATAATTTTAAAACTGCCAATTCGAATTACAACAGCATTCAAAATGTGTGGTCAACTTGGAACGCATGTATTCAATATAACATAATATAAAGACTATTTCTACCTATTATACTAGTGTACCCTTGATTTATTTTTGTAACTTACCCCTCCTCTAACAGACCCTGGGTACGGATATAAATTATTTATATATAACACATAGCTCCACCACGTGTCATGACATGCACTTAGGTTCTCTTCAATGTAGTAAGACAGTGCTCCAGTACACATGTACTCTATAAGGCACACATAAGCAAAGAATGCCAGAAAGTATGGAATTGAAATTCTGTAAGTGATAAACACGTACATGAGTTAAATAAGATAAAATATCAGCTTTGTATTCACCCAAAGCCATACATATAATGGGATTACAGCTAAATATGGTAAGTTTATCCGAAGTTTCTATATTTTGACTCTTATATCACAGATAATAGGCTGTGTGCATTGCAGTCCACACATCATCATCTCACTGTGAGTATATATAGATTCGTACTCGTTACCACGTAAGATTGTGGATATCTCACACAAATAATGTTCTACTATATGTTTGAATATTCTAAATTTCACTATATTTATATGTTCATTGTATAGAAATATGTAACTCAACTAAATATTGTCCCAATCTAGATACGTCAAAGCAACGTGGTGATCTTACCTCCATAACCGATGAAGATAGAAATATACCCAGTTTTCCTTACCATTGGCGTGAAGTCTCGATAATGGATAGTATGTGATCAGTAATCCACTGTATGTAAAACCAAGAACACATTTCAATTTCTGAATTTACCAAAATATCATCTCGTTCGTGTTAGGGAAAAGATCAGACTCACCAAGATCATTTTCAAGGTCAAGGTTCTGCCATTTTATCTGCAGTCAATCAATAATGAGATGTCGATTGAAGCCTTTGGGTATTACTTAATCTTGGTTCAGATTTGGAATTACAATACTCGTAATAAAAGAAATGTTTAAAGTGAATTAAATCACCACAGCGGCAGGTAGCCTGTACTAAGTCCTTCTATACAAATTCTGACAAAATTACAAGTAGCAAATATTTTTTCTTGAATCTGCTTAGAATTCTGTTTTGAGTGGACGAATACTCTTTCTAGAAAGCAGGAAGCTTCTATACAACTTTTGGCGGTTGGATATTTCAGCTGATATATAGTACTAGACTGATGCTCTAGTCAATAAACACCCTAATGAGGCGTTTTTGCAGACGCTGCTTGTATAAAAAGCAGCGACCAGTACTATAGTACGAAAAAGGCATATGTAGAGGGTGAACTGGTCTTCAACTTTACTGGAGCATAGTACACTAGCCAGGTCTCTAACTGGATATGGGTGTGAGTTTAACCTCATAACCAGGAATTCTAGCTCCTGTGTATGGGATTACAAAATTATTGGCTTACTATAAAACGTAAAAAGTTATTGAGTTTCTTACATGAACTAATAGCTGATTTTGTACCAGTCATCAATAAAAAAAATGTATGTCTAAATGTTTATCAGCTGAATGTTTAACCCTGCAGGGGAAATCAGTCTTTCAACTAGTGACGATAGGACATTGTCTACATGTACGCAGCGGTGCACAGTATCTGGAATATCTTCCTCCCGCTGACACAAATTTTTGAGTAAAAAGCGGATTGGTTGTCTCTCATTTTAGAGATCGCCGCTTTTGCCAAACAAAAATTCTCTAACTATCTGTAGCATCACATTCTCCTTTAGCAAATCTGCCAGCAGGCGCAATGATGTGGTTCGTTGGCAAACTGAATCTTAGTATTTCCCTAGTACGGAAATAAACCATATGTCGATGATAATGAACGTCCAGTCATCTTTGAAAATAGCTTTGATTGTGATCCTTAACTTATCTTTAAATATTTTACATAATTAATTTTGTCATTTTGGTTGAGTTGTCTTAAGAGGAAGCAGTGCGGACTACATTTTACATATCTGTGTCCGGTTATTAAAAATTATTATAGTTTCCGAATTTGAAAATAAGGTCGAATAATGCTCAGGAGTTCAATGAATATCTGTATTGATTTAGTATACTATTTGTATGGCGTAACGTAGTAAAATGAGTGTGTCAGTGTAACAATCTTTTATACGAAAGTGTTAGCAAATAAAAGTAATGTGCTGTTTCCGACAAGTGTCCTTAGTAAGATCACAACAAGTATCAAATCGAATTTCTTTAAAAAGACACAAATGCTGAATTCGGTCTCAGAGTTACAACTCCACGGGCGATGTGAAATACGATCTGGCATGGCCTAAATTTTCAGGGACGAAATTTGTGCAGAATTTTTGACAATGACTCACTGAATTTCATAAAAATATACTTTTCTAAGAATGTCTATCTACGGTTTTAGTGGTTAATTTCGAGTCAGAGGTGACCTGCTTTCCTGGACTCTTTCCCCCATCTATTTGCAATAAAATGTCGTTATATCTCAGAAAAGTCCTCGAACTTTATTTATGCTTACCATATTCAGAATCAAAAACCAACCTTAATATGAAGAATGTGTCCTCGGCGTAGCGATAATTTACCATAGCTTGTGAGATTATCCGATCTAAGATAACCCTGATGTCAAAGAAATTATCTGCAAATAGACACGAATTATATTATTGGAAGTTAGATCAATACATTCATCACTCAAACATGTTACATTAATGAATATATTATATGGCATATATGGTATACTGGTCGATGGTTTCAATTCAAACAATATTAATTGTGCACTTTTCATTTATCAGTTTTTATAAAGAGAAGTTACAATTGCCAAGCAAACCCTACATCGATTAAGAAAACAACTTGGCAGGTTATTCTTCAGAAAGAGGGTCAACCATTTGTAAAAAAAAATGAAAAAAAAACCCAAATATATCGAAATGGAATAAAAATGAACACCAGCAGAACAAATCTCATCGTGTAAGAGTAAAAATAATTTAAGTGAAAAAGGCTTAATTTTGAATACAAACTATCCTCACACATGAATTTATAATGAAAAAAAAACGTTTGTCCTAAAAGCATCCACCACAGTGAGAGTACACGTAGACCGTATAGTACCGACATTGAGTCTTCGCCGGGGTCTTTTATATTGACTGACAGGATATAAGGACCGTTAGATACCACGGAAAAACATGACAGAAGCTGCTTCCACACATCTGAAAGAGGAAATCAACGTTTAAATAGTATAGGATCAATTTCCCTGACAGAGAATGGGAGGACTTCAGTCTGAACACTCGGTGATTTCTTCTCAGAAACATGTTTTGGGACCAGAAATGCTTTTGAATTGCATGAATACTTATGCAAACTTGTTAGTTTTTTTTTTTTGCAATTATTATACAGAATGTGTGTATTTCTTACTTACTGGCGACGTTCTCTACTTTTAGCCCCGTATTTTGATCACCCGATACATTGTAAGCTGTCTCTTCAATTCCAGTATTACTTAAATCTGTGAGTGTTTTTGTTGTCCTTTGCAAGTTGTAATATTCGAATCCTGACGCTGACAATACCAGTACACCCAGTACCGCAGATATGCATCTACAATGAACTTACGACTATTAGTTGTATACATATATGAGAGGTGGTGGGGGAATTTTAAAATCATGTTAGAAAAAATAATTATTTACTCACATCATTATAATCGCTCCAACTGAAAGATCTTTACTTTCATTACAATGTACAAGCGAAAAATCAAACGCATTGTGCATGATGCTATGAATACGTGGACGGGATAACAAGTCTGAAAAATCAATAATTTCTGTGCATCATACCAGTCATATATAAACACTAGTATTATATTGAAGACGTCTTATCTAATGTACTTATTTTCTGCTTTGAGATTATTGTTTTTTTCGTAGATTTCCGCATTGGTTAAAAAATCGAAATGTTGGCGTATCGTTTACCTTTTTGGATCAATAGTCGTACGTCGTCTTTACTGCACGTGTTAGGTACGCAGAGAGCCATCGATAATGCTTCTTCTAATAAGGTAATAGTCGCGTTCTAGAGAAAATAAATGTTTGACAGTTACGAAAACAAAACAAAACAACAATAACACAAGTTTAAATTAATTTAAGATCAACTTAGACAGCCGGCAAATATTTTGTCATACCTTAACTGGGATTGTATATAACGCTAAGCAGTACTTAGCTTTGAAATTAGTTATATTCAGCTCCCTATCTGTGGCACGTATACATTCTGTATGGGTACCGATCCATTTGAAATTAGCCTTGAGTAGTCCACTAGGAAATCTTCCCATTGCATCAAACACTTGCAAAGTAATGCAAAGAATATTCATGATGGTGAAATAATGAATGCTCACGATTCAAGTAACGCCCTCAGAAAATCGTGTATATAAGAATGAACACATACATTATGTACAACTGTCGTACGTA